AGCCTATTGTTAGGCGATGGCCCTCTTTTGCATGTGACTAACCTGTTTGTCCATGTGGAGGCGGAGCTTATAAGGCTGAGCTCACTTGAAACTCATCAGACTGAAGAAGTCTCTTGGAGGAGAGATGAAACGTTTCACTAAAGAAGAACCATCCAGAGGAACTACTGATTTTTTCTTTTTGATGTTTTATACCTGGATTACTGAGATGCATCAGGATACAGAGTAGAGAGCGTCACAGGCTGCCTCTGCGTTGGCTGAAGGGGGGACATACGCCGTTCTCGCGATACGTTACATGGTAATAAGTGTTTAAAATGTAAGCAACAAGGCTGGCTTGATGGTTACTAGTTTACAAATGGGTTGAAAAGAAAGTCTGCATGAGTTACATGGTAAGAACTGTATAATACTGTATGTGAGGAACGAGACTGGTTTTCTTTCCAGTCCAGTTCCCTTTTCTTACAGTGTATTATGTTGTAATATTTTGTTTACTTAGAGTGGCATTGTCACGCGTACACACAGGTGGTATTTTTCTCCTCTGCTTATCTGCTTGGAGAAAGGAAAAGACAACAGTCAGTTACAATTAACACTGGATCACAGTATGTTATTCACATTTGAAATAGAAAATCCTTTAAAAAGGAGAGTCATGTTAATGATTATTATTATTTTCTTTTTAATCTAATGAATCTTAAAATATTAAAACAAATTTGTCACAGCATTATCTGCAGACACCATCATATTTTGAAGCTAAAATAGAATTTTGTCTCTAAGAAAATTATTTAAAAAAAAAAGTTCAGTTAGTTGTGAGATTTGACCAGTGGTGGTCAAAAGGTCATGTCAGGGGTTACGGTTGTTCATGCGACACAACAAAATATGCCACGACGCTCCAGGTTGTAAACAGCAGAGCCCTGTAGATAGTAACGGTTGTGATGACAAGCTGAAATGGGCAGGACGGAATTGGAAGGAGGTTCTTAAAGAGACAGAGGCCAATTTCAATGCATTTAAAAAAGGATATGATGTGAATTCAAGTTTGTTTTCTATTTAAACATATAAACAACATTTTAAAAACGACTAAAGGTGACATAGATACTTTATTATGGTATAGAATTTAAATATATGCCTGAGAAACACAATGTTGCCCCTTTAATATTAACATGGTAATTAGGTGACTGTAAAAATAAGGCTGTAATTTGTTGGCAAATATTGGGTAACTGAGATACTATTGAACCCTAATTGTAATAAAACTACCCTCTAAAATTTGTTTAAATACATAGTGTTTTTAAATGTTCTTACAGAGTAATTACTGTGAGGTGCGGCTGGCAGAATGACCCAGGGCTCAGGCAAAATCCAAATGTAACAAAAAGTTTATTTAAACAACAAAAAGAGGGCTGAAGGCAGCAAAAAACTTACAAGGATCTCAGGAGGAACAGACAGGACACCACACAGGCTGAGGGGAAACAGCACAATGAACCGACAAAGACAGGTGTTGGAGCCTATTAATTATTTAAATGATATTCTTGTTATATGTAGAATTATGTAGATTATTATTATTTTAAAATAAGCCTGGTGATTTTTATAAAAAAAAACATTGTGATTTTTGTTTAGGACCCTCCTCCTCCTTAGGCCAACTGTGATTAATGAGAAAATGACACCTGGGTGAGGTGAGTCTGAACCATGGTGGAAGGAGTGAGGAGTGAAACAGTTTTTGTACCACTAAATAACATTTTTTACTTGGATTTTGTTGAAAGTCAACCGGAGAATATTTCTGTTTATTTTTTATTTTTTGAAAGTAAAGTCAAAACATTTTTGGTTGGAACAGGAAAACCTCTCCGAGTGCTTTTTTATTTGGTGCGTCGAGAACCTCATCCTAGGCATTACTCTGACATTGTTGGACAATATCTGAATGCCAGAGCTGCCGAAACAACAGGTGACAAGACTCAGAATATAAAGCAAACAAATTAAGAGAAAATCAGAAACACCTGGAGAGACACAATAGGGAATGGCTGAGCAGGAGTGGGGCTGGAAGCCGGGGAAAGATACACAGGGGAACACAGAAAACACTAGAAAACAAAGGAAAAATAAATACAGATTATGACAATTACATGGTAATGGTTGTTGTAAATACCAGGTAATTGCATAGGAAAATTGTATCACTTACCAAGTAAATACTAGGTAACTGCATGGTAATTAGGGGACTGTGAAAGAAAGGGTTACTGTTACCTCTAACACTTACTACAATTTTCAATTGTTTCACTTCTTCCATCAATCCAAACAAATTAACATACTGTATATACAATCCAGCAGCCGAACACTCACATGTTCTTCTGATGTCTGCAGCTAATGGTCAAGGCCAGCCTTCATGTCGATCCTTCAGTCACTGCGATTCCCAAATCTAATGTGGAAACGTGTCCTTAGACAGCAGGAAAACTCAGTCAGCTGGGGAAAGAGCCATCAATAGCCGTCTTAATAGATCATGTTAAAGTGGGAAGGAAATGCTAGAGGAACAAGCAGCACAGTAAAAGCCAACAGTCTCCCCTCACTGCTGCTGCCACTCATACGTGTCTGCAGGGCTTCAGCTCAGTTGGAACCTCTACAGAGAACTCAGCAGGATATGGTTAAACTTATGAAAAAAGGCACTTTAGTAATCTATTACTCTCTGGTCTTCTCTACCTCTTTATTCTCCCTCATCTGTTTATCACATTTTCACAGTCTTTCTCTTTTTCATCTCCACTTTGCTTTGATCTGCATGCTTCACTGTACAACAGTCCCTTGCATCTCTCTCTCTCTCTCTCTCTCTCTCTCTCTCTCTCTCTCTCTCTCACACATGCCCTTTCCCCACCCCTTTTCTCCTCCTTCATCCATTAGCAGGAAGAACAAACTGCTGGCAGACAAGGAGCAGACAGAGCAGAGAACACAAGTGAGGGAAGAAAAACAAACAGACAAACATTAAAGAAGAAGAAGAAAAAAGAAGAGAAACATCATGGATTTTATGAAGAAGGGATTCTCCAAGGCCAAGGATGGTGTGGTGGCTGCCGCTGAGAAAACGAAGGCCGGGGTTGAGGAGGCCGCCACCAAGACCAAGGAGGGGGTCGTCAATGTTGGTGAGACATAATGGATAAAGGGCATTAACTAATACATGCATATATATATATATAT